CTAGTACAGTACTGCATTGGCTGGCTGCATTGCAAGTCGCTCTGACCGCGGGTCTGGTTATGAAACGGGGTGTGGTTGGCCACCTTGACGTCTAGGTCCATGTCCTCATCTAGATGAAGAGAGTGCATCGACTGACCAAAAGAGGTGTTGGGCGTCGTAGTAGAGCTGCATGGATGCATGTGTTGTGATTGCGACATTGCCGGTCCTCGGATGGGGGCTTGCGCTTGCTGTTGGGATTTAGGAGGTCGCCGAGCTTTCTCCTCCCGTGACAGGTGCGACTCAGTCGCGGTGTTGTCGACCTCGGTCTCGTTGCCAGATACATCGGCGTCAGGCTCTATCCTCGGGGGTGGAGTAGCCCTAGCCCGTCGGAAGCGCTTCCTAGGTACGGGTTGCTGGCGTGGCGGTCTCGTCAATGGCTGCCAAGTCACATGCGTCCCTCTACGGGGATCTTGGTTGTTTGTGCCTTCAAAGAGGTTGTAGTTGAAGATGTGATCTTCGTATAATTGCGCAATGTCGAAGAGGTTCGGTAGAATCTCGGATAGGGCTCGGCCTTGCATCCGCTCACTGAATCTGGATCCTTTCGACGAGGAGAACTGGTCTGGTGGCGTGGTCTCAACGGCATACTGCGCGGCGTGTTTGAGCTTGGCGACCCATGGACTTCTACGCTTGGCCTCGTCGATTTTGCGGTGCTGAAGCATGAGATCGACTGCAAGTTTCAAAAGGCCTAGGGAGAATTAGCTGTCGCTCACTCTCACAGGCAGATGTGATAGCTTACCCGCCTTATCCAGATGCGAAGGCTCTTCATAGGGCACATCGTGGGGCCACCAAGGTGGGGTGCATTCAGAGGGCTGCTCCCTAGGAAGCTTCTTGTGGTAGGGCCCATACAGGCTGAGACGCTTAGGCTCCAGTTGCTTGACCCAAGCCGTGACGATGGGCCGCACTGGCTTCATAGTGAGCTCATCGAGTCTTCGGTGGAAGAAGCCCATCAACGGTTTGACATCGCCAATGTAGAAGGTGTAAGACTTCTGTGTTGCCACAGGGACATCTCTATCGTCGTACTGCTCGTCGTCTCCATCTTCGCTGAAGTGCTGAGCTGCGCCTTGACGTGGTTCACCTGCGCGCGACCGAGCTCTCTTCCGGCTCTTGGGTTGAACTTCTCCCGACGTAGCTGGGCCTGTTAGCGGGGGCGCATACAGAGCAGGCATTTGATCTTACCTGGTACCTGGACCACGGTAGACTGGTAGACTGGTGTGGGGATGGCTTTAGGCGGATCTGCCAGACGGGCTACTCCCTGCGACTTTGCTGGGCCGTTGCACAGGTGTTCAAAGCCGGGGATGGGCCTAAAGACGTGTTCCTCTCGGCCCTCAGGCGAGATGACCTTCCAGCAGCCGATAGGTGTAGGGACGGCAACGGGCTCGTCTGGTTCGTCCTTCTTGATGGTGGCTTCGACAGCGTGCGAGGATGTTGCCTGGAGAAGTCAGCATATGTGCTCGTCGCTATTGCCGTCTATGATGCCACGCGCCTGCCGGGTCCGGTTATTTGGGCCAAGGCGGCCGCTAATCGTCGCGCCAGCGGCTCATGTGGAGGGAGGACCCGAAACCTTATCTACAGTGCCCCCGAACGCAAAAAGAAACCGTACTCACCGACAACTGCTCCTTCACATCACCAGCGTGAACCATCGCCCACGCGTTTTCCCCAAATCGGTCTACCGCCATGGCGCCGCCATCGTCCTTCCGTATTGGTCGCCGGTCCTTCGCGTGAGGAGCCAATGGGTCCACGGCCCGGAACATCGCCATCGGTAGCTATGGAGCTGCAGCTAGCGAATCCCGCGAACTGATCGATGGATCGCCTTTGTGTCGTATGGGCGTATTTTTCCGTCTTATGGCGCCCGAGGAAAGCTCGAAAGTACGAACAGGCTACGTATCGGTCAGTTAGCATCTTATACTCTACAGGAGCCATGCCCCTGGAGCGACCGAATGAGGCAGTATTGCTTGACGAAATGACCAAGATCATCTACATAGACTAGTCGAGTACAGTTTTGGAGTGCGCACACTTCGCTTAACCTATTGCGCTGGCAGTGCTTACCTGAAAAGAGCAAGTTCTAGAGGAACCCCAGTCTTTGGATGAACGCAAGATGCCCCTCTTCCGCTGCAGATCCGAGATAAGCCAGAGCTGGATGCCGAGGTGGATGCCAACGAAAAGCCTCTGCTATATCCAACAGCAATGGGAGGTACGACTCGTCACGAGCCTTAACCCGCAGCAACGAGACTTGGATAAGGTGGCTAGCCGAAAAAGGCTGGGTGCGGAATCGGAGGAGGGTGGCACACAGGCCTGACCGGTCTTCCAAAGATTGTGTGCCAATGATGCAAACCCAAAAAGAGCCACGGTTCCAATGATAAAATGCAAATACAAGAACGTGATACTGACAGCGACAATAGGACCGAATGTATTGACCGGGCTCTCAGGTTATAAAGCAGGCCTTATTCTGCTATGACAACTGAGCCCTGCACTGTTCGACTCCTATCTACTGCACGTAACCTCACAGAATCCACTTGGCGACGACAACACCCCGGCATTTCAGCAAACGAGAGAAGACATCGCATGATCTGGCCACCCCGCGGATGTCGACTCGAGGGCTACCGCAGGTGTTAAGGGATTGAGGCCTCATCAGGCCTGCGCATCTGAATTGGGCTTGCGGAGACGTCTTGTGCATGACTCCCGCTTCCCCGTCCGCACCTGCCTTCACTCTCAGTCGACACGATGCCAGAAAGATGACGAGTGTTAGGCGCGAACAGGGGTCAATGTCTCCACAAGGATGTATACACACTAGCGCTAAAGCATGCTGCATAACGGACACGGGGTCGTGCCGTGGGATTCCATCATGCAAATCAGCAAATCGTATCTGGAGGCCTCGAATCTCCGATGAGTGGTTCCATGGGAGATCTGTTGGGCATCGAACACCTGCACACTGCCATCGTCACTGTATCAGATACCGAAATCAACATCCGATTATATATTGGATGTGGACGTGTCAGGACTTAACCCCACCTTCCACCTTTACACATCCCACGTGAGGAAGTACGCTAGCACACACTTCGACGATGGCGTTTTTCGGAAGACCAAGGATGGCTAGACCTCGCCGTTCTGTGGGTTTCGTTGATCCTCGGGATCGTCCTCGCTTACCGCATTTCCGCCAGCCATCGCATGAGGCGGAGGGGCAGTGGAGGTCAGAGACAACCTTCCCGCATCCCCGAACCAAAGATACATAGCCGCTCAAGCAGCCAAAGGGTCTTCGACCCCAAAAACCTACATCCACTTCAGCGCCACGGCCAGACTGTTCTAGACGATGTACAAAGGAATCCTTCACAGATCCCGTTACGATGTCGCTCAGGCCCGCACCGCTCATCCACTTACCAGGCTGTTGGCGTGAGATTGAGTTCAGTCTGACTCAGTATCTGATCGATCTGGCTGTAAGAACGCCCAGAACAAGTTAGACAAAAACGTCCATCTCGCTACTGCGTGCGCGCACTGGAACAATGCTGAACAAATTCCTGCACATCGCCGCGAGATGCGTCTTCCCTCCTGCTGTTCTACCCCCAATTTTCCACCACTGACCTAACTCACCGCCAACAAACCTGCCAGATCTAAACAAGCCAACCTCCAGCAGATCAAATCGTATCGACGTCCCCAAACCAGACAAACCAGACTCGGACCCAGACCCAGGCTTCCCTCTCTCCCGAGCGCCACACCGCCCTCGCACTAGCAAGGCGGAGATAACGTGTCACCCCGTTGCACAACGTACTTCTAATACGGCAACGGGCCGCTGGGCTAAACCAGCCTTACCCCAGCGGCATGCACCACCCACGTCCAGCTTCCGTTTCCGCTTCGTATACCCAGTTAGATGCACCAATCCCGCCTTCTCCTTAGCAATGTTAGGCTCCGGCATATATGCGCCACCCGCAAGAAGCGGAAGGTAGTGAACCGCGTTTAGTCGTCCACGGCTGCCGTGTCACGCATGCTTACCTTGCAACTTGGGTTTTCTCTCCTGTCCCTCGTGTAAGCAGGGGCGTAGGCGGCGGGTGGACATCGCTTCGAGCCCGTTCTTCGCGTCGAGTTACGGAGTCAGATGGGAGGATGTGCAGAGGCTGTCAATGCGTGACGAACGCCGGAAAGTAGTTTCGTATCGAAGGCGCAGGGGTAGCGGGACTGGAGCCGGGCTGGGTGCGTGGGCTTCTGGAACGTGGAGTGGTGGTGGTGCTGCAGCGAGTTCACCGCTAGGTCAAGGTACACAGCGATGATGAGGGTGTAAGGTTTGGGGTTGGGTGGTGAAACGTTTGCTTCCGAAGGTCAAGCTTGAGACTGCTAATACTGGATGGCGACTGATGCAGAAACGTAGATATGATGCAAGTGAAACCCCGGTGTATGGGTTCAACAAGTGATGATCATATGTTTCTGATCGCCGAGGTCAGAGTGCGGTCACTGTAGCCGCGTCCAACGGATTTTGCTTCCACCTACTCCTAGAGACTGGACTTGGTGGGATAGAGTTTCGATATATAGACCGCGATATATTCTAGACTTCTCGCGTCACACGTTCACTTCGGTGTTCCTGGCTGTAGTGACGCATTACTATACTTGTCTGATGATGTCTATAGAGAATTCATGTCCACTGACAATCACCATATGGATAACCGTGTCTTGGCACTGCAAGACTATCATCTTGGCTCAGAGGTAAGAAAATCAAAAGCAGATGCATGTTAGACCCAGTATTAAAATTCTATACACGTTTCCACTTGAACTTCATCAACCACCTGCGAGTAAATCGCGAAACTACTTTTCCCCTCTACCTCCATCACTGCTCAAAGTTTTCCGCTCACCACAACGCCTCGCCATGCTATGAAAACGGTACAACTCCAACGTATCTATTCTGCGAAAATCTCTAGAGAAGCTGATGTGTTAACTGTTTCCACACACCTCTTCTATCTCCATCAGTCACTTCCTCCTCACGACTGACTCATATCCAATGCGTTCAACAACCCCGCCTCCTTAACCAACTCATAGAACAGCCCCTTCCGTCTGACCAGCTCCGCCGGGCTATCAAATTCCTTGACCTCGCCCTTGTCCAGCACGATAATCCTGTCTGAGTCCAAAATCGTGTTGATGCGATGCGCGATAGTGATGATTGTGCGGTTGTTGAACATGCTGGTGCGGAGCGTGGTTTGCAGCATGGCGTCTGTTTCGACGTCGACGGCGGCTGTGGCTTCGTCCAGGACGAGGATGTTGGAGGGAGTGAGGAGGGCGCGGGCGAGAGAGACGAGCTGGCGTTGACCGGAGGAGAGGTTGGAGCCGCCTTCGTTGATGGTGGCGTCGAGTTTGCCGGGCATGGAGGAGATGTGGTCTTTAAGGCGAGCGTGGTCTGTGAGGGTGATTAGATGGGAAGTGAGGGTGAGGGGTTGGAGGAGAGCTTACCTAGTACACTCCAGAGCTCGGTGTCGTCGTGAACGTGCCCAGGGTCGAGATTGTCGCGCACGGTACCCTCGAATAGCGCTGCATCTTGTGGGATGATAGCCAAGCGCCTGCGGAGGTCAAGAAGACCGATAGTGCTGGTGTTGAGATTGTCGATGCTTACATTACCCTCCGCAGGTTCGATGATGCGGAAAAGCGCAAGGGTAAGTGAACTCTTGCCAGCGCCTGTTCGTCCAACGACACCAATCTTCTCCTTTGGCTTGATTGAGAGGTTGACGTTCTTCAGCACCAAGTCAAGACCAGGCCGATATCGGGTGCTGTAGTTGTCGAAAGTGACAGCGCCCTGGGACGGCCAGCTGATTGGTGGTCTGTTCTTGGAGATGATCTCAGGCGCCTCGCTGGGTAGCGCGGCATACTCAAGCACACGTTCCACAGAAACGATGTTGGTCTCCACTTCAACAGTCTGGCGAACGATCCAGTTGAGACTTTGAGTGATCTGAAGCGCATACGACATGGCCAGACCCACCGTACCAGCCGATAAGCCGCTGTGGCTAGCGACGGACACGATGGCGAGACCCGCAGCAGCCAAGATGATGACTGAGCCAAGGAATTCTAAGCGAACAGCCAGCCATCGGTTGGCGCTGATGGAAGGGTAGTATGCACGCAGATTGGCATCGACACGCCACTCATTCTCCATCTCGAAACGCTTCTGCTGGTTGTACGCGCGGATTGTGCTCATACCGCTGAGACTCTCCTGGAAATGGGCATAGATTGGGCTGCGGCTAACGCTGTCCAGGCGCTTGAGCTCCCGTGATGTGCGCAGGTAATATCGTTGGATGTAAAGGTAGAGTGCGCCGAGCGGCAGGATAAGCGCAACGAAGGCCGGGGTCGACCACGAAATGACGACAAGGGTGAAGCCAGCTGCATCGGTCAGTCAGTCAAGTGTTACACAAAACGGGTTGAGTGTGGGGTGGCTGCATACCTCGGGCGGAATTGACGAAGAGCATGTTGAATGTTCGGCTAGAGGCACATGTTAGAAAGCCACCGGCAGACGAATCAGAGAGATGAACTCACGCTAGGACTTCGTCGACTCGGTAGATGTCACTGTCAATAAGTTAGCCAGTGTCGGTGAAGTAAACATATGGGTCCAGGGTCATGCTCGGCGAGGCAGTGGGCGACGGTTAGACTGATTGAGACAACCTCCACCGCCGCCCCTCCGCCTCCCCCACCCACCCATGTTCGGCGAGGAAGTGGGCGAACAGGTCAAACATGTTCGGCGAGGAGAGTGCATGAACAAGGTATCGGCAGACGTGGACCGGACCGCGGCAATGACTTACCTCGAAAATCGATTGAGTATGCGTCCTGCAGGTGTAGTCTCAAAGAAGCTCATTGGCGAGCGGAAGATGGCAAACGCCATCCGCTCGTGTAGCTTCCTGCTAGCTTCGATGGAGCAGAAAATCCAGAGGATCAACGTCTGCACCACGACCAGGGCAGCAGATCCCACGCCAAACGCGAAGTAGATGCCGATGTATTTCCCCACATGAGGGTTCCCGCCGTAATGCTGGTTGATCTCTGACCAATGCTTTAGCCACACGCTTGCGCCTGCATGATGTTAGCGTCAACCTCAAAAGACGAAAAAGTGACGAGCCAATAGCGTGCTACTCGAAGGCCAAGGACCACGTAGAAGCATTCAAGGCTGTGCGACTTACCGATTGATGATGTTTGAGCACCCAAAAGGAGCATCAGATAGATGGCGACCGCTGCAAGATTGCTTGTCTTTGCATATTCGCCGTAAACGGACCACTTGACTTTGCCTTGCTCAGAGAACTCCTTGGTCTGCTTGCTCTTGAGCCCACCGCCCTCTTCATCGTTCATCTTGCCGCGAGGTCCCTTGAAACTGGCAGTGCTGGCTCGACGAAGGGTCTGGAAGCTCGACTTGCGGCCCGTACCGCCTCCGACCCTCAAGGGGGCGAGAGTGGCGCCACCCTCCTGGGCGGCCTCAGCTTCGGCTTGATCTTCCTCGTCGTCTTCGCCGGTGGGACTACCACCGTAGACTGTAGAATCTTCATCGCTCATGATGCTGTCGGATGTGCGAGTGCTGTCATCTTCTCCCTGGTCTTCGTTCTGAGATGTCTTGATGAGCTGAGCGATTTCACCCTTCATGGCCATTAGTTGTCCGTAGCTGCCTCTCTCTAGAATCTTGCCTTCGCGCAGTAGCAGGATCATGTCGGCTTCCATCAGAACGGGGATGGAGTTGGTTGCCAGAATCCTGGTCTTGCCCGCAAGTAAACCCTTGGGTCCGAGTACGTTGTCGATGAGATGGCGTCCAACGTGCTGGTCAACAGCGGATAAACAGTCATCGAGAAGATAGATGTCTGCACGCGCATAAACCGCACGAGCAAGAGTAAGACGAGCCTTTTGACCACCTGAGAGTGAGATACCTCGTTCACCGACCTCGGTCTGGTCGCCATCGGGAAGGGAGCCAAAGTCGTCTCGTAGTGCACAGGCATTGACAGTCTTCTCGTAGAACTGGGGATCCCAACGATGACCAAATACGATGTTCTCGCGAACGGAAGCGTTCATGACCCAAGCTGACTGTGGAACATACGCAGTCTTTCCGCGTAGAACGACCTCTCCATGTATCTTCCACAGATCACCGAGAACTGCTTGAAGAAGCGATGATTTGCCTGCACCGACGCGACCGACAATACACGCGAGGTCTCCCTTGTGCGCGGTGAAGTTGATGTCATGGAGAGCACGACGCTCAGCGTTCTTGTCCCAAGTGAAGCTAGCATCGCGGATGCGCACCGACTCGTCGCCATTCTCAGTCACAGCGTCTTCGCGGATAACGGCATCCTCCTGCAACTCATCGGCAGTCAGGTAGCCAGTAATACGGCCAACAGCTACACTAGCCTCAACGATGGCGGTGATAACCATAGGGAGGATGGCAAGTGGGAAAGTGAGGAGGTTGAAGAGCGTAAGAGCAGGGAAGACAATGTCAGTTGTCAGAGCACGGTTCTGCGTCCAGACGAAGACACCAAAGGTTGAGCACGACACCAAGAACGGAGTTGTAGACCAAGTGAATGTGGAGAACGCCTGGGTAGCACCAATCTTGCGCAAGGTCTTGAGTTCCTGGTCGTTTCGGATGGTGTTCAGGCGGTTGGCAAAGGCAGTCGTCCAAGCGTAGAGCTTGATCGACTTCATGTTGTTGAGAATCTCAGAAATTAGTTTGGTACGCGAATCCTTGTTCTTCATCTGCTCCTTCTGCAGAGTCTTCATCCACCGTGCAATCACACCGTTGATAGGAATCATGACGAACATGGCGGCAACACCTGCGAAACAACTGACACCAAGCAATTGATACAACGATAGCATGCACAGGATGATTTGAAAGGGAGCTGACCACAGTTGTTGTCCGTATTGCGCAAGATCCTGGAGACGCTGTGTGTCCACGGCCATGTAGTTGACGATATCACCGGTTGACTTGGACGCGCGACCCTCGTTGGATAGACGGGTGGACTTGGAGTAGATGGCAGCCGTGAGCGAAGACTTGATGCGCATGCCGGTTTCGAAAGACCGCTGGAAGTATTGGTGGAGGCAGGCGGTCTGGGAAACGGATACGGCAAACATGGCAAGCGCGATGGCCGCACCGCGAATGAGAGGCTGGGGCTTTCCGGGGTAGTTGGCACGGTACGAATCGACGAAAGTGATCAGAAGCCTCAGCAACTGGGGCTGGGCGAAGTTCAGAACGTCGCTTATGGTCTTGATGGCAGCGCCGCGGAAGTAGGGACCGCCGAATGAGCGGAACATTGCCAGCCACAACGAAGGGCGCTTCTTCTCCATCTCATATTTCCACGCATCCTCAAATGTCTGTGAGGTGTGCCGGGTGGTGTCGCGCTTTCGGAGGTTCCACAGGCTGTCCTGGGTGAGGAAAGTCTTGTATCCTTGCTTCATCATCGGTGTCATCCAGCCAAATGTCAAGACAGAGAAGACGTCTGCGTATTCGTATGGACATTCATCGTCGTCTCCAAGCATGTCGTAGTCGCTCATACGCTTCGGGACCAGCCATTCCAGGACGAATGAGAGCCCAGCCAATCCAACACTAGCGCAGAAGACTGCGAAGTATGCCACATGTTCGCGATGTACCTGCTGGGAGACGAGGGAGCGGAGCTTGACGGCGTATGCGATGAGCAGGAAGAGCCAGTAGAAGAGGACCACGCCGTTGGCATTTCGCGACCGCCAGTGTTCGATATACTGGATGTGGAATACGAAGCCGAGAGAGACGACGGTGATTATAGATGTCCAGAAGCGGAAGTCACCGGCCCATACGTCTTTGTAGTATTCGATCTGGAGGGCTGCCTGGACTGCTGTGGTGGCGATGAGGGCGCTGAGTGACGTCTGGTGGCGCAAATTGTTAGCTACTACTCAATCTAATACCTAGATGAACCCATAGTCTCGAACATACCAGCTTCGCGTAAAAGTGCCAATTGCGCTTCACGGGCTGCGGTGGGCATTTCCTGTAGAGATACCACAACGCGCCTACTCCGCCCACGATTCCAAACGCCGCGACGACCGCTATCCATACATCCAAGAAGCACGGAGTGAAGTCGTATCGTATCGGGCTGATTGGGCCCCAGCCCTCGCTATTACCGCATAATGGCTGGCGGTGGTGCTTCGAGGCCGTCAGATAGCCGTGCGCAAGCGGTATGCTGGGGAGGAAGGGCGTCTGTTGTTGGCCCTGCATCGATCGGATGGTGCTTGTGATTGCCGGAACTCTGATTGTCGCAGAGTTTAGGCAGATCAGGGCGTCGAAGGCGGCGAGAAGGTGTCTAGGCGGTTGCGACGCGAGGGCACTTTTGACATGAGAGCTCGGGCCGTCGGTATGATATAATCATTGCTGCTTACTAGCCCTACTGCCGATAACGCCGCGGGCTACGCAACCGACTAACCCCCAGTATGTGGTAATAGACTATGCCACGATACCGATGATTCGACTGAGCGCAGCGTAGTCGAGCCTACACCGGAGTACAGCATAGAGGCTGTGTGGCTGCCTCGTGGACCATGGGCGCATGCGACACTGCCGAAAACATCGCGAACCGATGGGCCGGTCTTTGTCCGATCACCATCCCGGCGAACAGGTTCGCAGCTGCCTCCCAAGATCAGGACACCAAATCACGTGCGCGACCATCTCGAATTGCGCGCAACGTCAATCCATTATCGCATCGATCTTTGATGTTCATCGTCGGTCACAGGCAACAGTTGTAGTACTGGCGGTGTAAGTTGTGAAAAAGAAAGGTGGCGGGACGCGTGCTGCCTACATAGATACCCAATGGCCTCTGCTTCGCAACCACTATATCACCAACAACCCAAGCGGGCCTTGAATTCAAGAGATGGAAATATTGAAGAACTATGGCCAGCGAATAGGACATCCGCCATAGTACGAATTGAAGTCTCCACGCACCGCGCTCACTACACACGAACCTGTATCCCAGTTACCACCATCTCAAAGTCTCAAAACCAACAGTCGACTACAACATATCGCAGTCCTATGATCTAGCAGCTAGTAGCAGCATCGAATGAAGAAGCGTGCAGACAGCACCGCTGACATGTCCAGTTCAGTTCCTTGGTCCCGCCGACAAAAGCCCACTTAGCTCCAACGCATGCATGTCAAACTCAGCACCCGCTAAACACCAAGGCCCCACGACCCACAACCCCGGCTTGGAACACAATACCACGCTAGTAGGATCGCCTTTTGGTGTTCCTCTTGTTCGTTGAGTGGTCTGCTGTCAGCTGGGTATATAATACTTACCACCCACCTGTTCTTTCACATACGACCATAGGATCATGAAAATTAGGCTTCCCGTCCGCTCAGCCATATACAAGCATGATACCGGCGGATTAGTAGTTAGGTGGGTGACCACTAGCGAATCCCCGCTGTTGTATGTTTTTGCACTTTTTTTGCCATTTTTTGCACCCAGGTTCAATGACCAGAGGCACCCCAGAGACGGCGAGCCTACCACCCAGGAACATGACAGACAGCCTCTGCTACCCTTAGAGAGCTATGTCACTTCTTCACAATAGGCCCTTCCAAATTCCAACAGCTCTTACGTTGTCGCTCTTAACCTTGTAATAACTGTATTGTGGGCAACCTCTCGACCTATTGCATACTTTTTGCTTCCATCTTTGCTTCAAAGCAGCCCGCAAGGTCAGGGTGGAGCTCAGAAGTTTACCAAGCTGATGAATTTTACCCTGTCATGTTCAAACTCGCGAAGTCGCTCTTTCGAAGGCAACCATGGCCCCAACTCAAGTTTCCAACATCTGGTTTCGAAGTCATCAGTGACGCGGTACTGCTCGAAGAGGAACAGCTTGAGGAGTTCCACAGGGGCTTCTACTATCCTGTCAACATAGGAGACGTCTTCGCGTCAAAGTACCAAGTAGTAGGCAAACTTGGTTTCGGTGTTACGTCAACTGTTTGGCTGGCTCGTGATCTACAGCAAGTTAGCATTCGGCTATTATGCCAGCTACCTAGGTATCTATACTAACAGGAACCCAGCCGTCATGCCTATACGACCTTGAAAGTCTTCACAAGAGAGGGAATGGACGAGGATGAGTACAACACGTACAATACCTTAAGTAAAGGAAACGCTTCGCATCCAGGCTACAATCACGTCCGGACAGCCCTCGACTTGTTTACCATCCCCCGACAAGGCGGCGATCATCGATGTCTTGTCCAGAAACCAATGTGGGATAGCTTCAAGGACCTCTTGAATAGGAACCCGGTGCATCGCTTCACGGACGAGCTGCTAAGAGCCGGGTTGTCGCAAGTGTTTCTCGCACTCGATTACCTTCACACAGAAGCTAAGGTCATACATACAGGTACGAACTACCCAAAAGATACCTTCCTGCCATTCTGTTAACAAGAACGTAGACATAAAAGCCGACAACATCCTCATAGAAATCGAGGATCAGGGCATCCTGGAAGCCTTTGTCGACGCCGAAATGACAAGTCCCTCGCCGCGCAAAGTCGTAGACGGCAAGCCAATCTACGCGACACGCCAATTCGGATTACCGAAAGAATACGGTCGTGTTGTCGTTGGAGACTTCGGCTCTGCAGTCCGTGGCGACAAACCCCAGATTCACGATGCGCAACCAGACGTCTACCGCTGTCCAGAGGTGATGCTGAAGACAGAATGGGGTTATTCTGCTGACATCTGGAACGTGGGAGCGATGGTATGTACCGTCTCAAGCTTGAGAACTGCGAAACTAGACATTGACGGAGGTGCACACAGATTTGGGACTTATACGAGGACAAACACCTCTTTCACGGCATCGATCCAACCGAAAAGCGATACCTGACTAGAGTTCATCTCGCGGAGGTAGTCGCGATGCTCGGTCCGCCGCCAATAGACATGCTAGAGAGAGGAGCGCGGAGTAAAGAATTCTTCGATGGTGAAGGGAACTGGATAACCGAGATTGACATACCGCAAGGTTTGTCGTTGGAGGGATCTGAAGAGAACCTGCATGGGGAAGAGAAAGAGGAGTTTCTGCGGTTTGTGAGGTGCATGTTGCAGTGGAGGCCGGAGGATCGGTGGACCGCGAAGGAGTTGCTTGGGCATCCTTGGATGAGAGGAAAGTGACTCACGCTAGGTTAAGACACTTCCTAAATCCGGCAGTCACACGTCAACCCAGAAAACAACCAAACATCCTGGAGCCTACATCGACGTTAGGTCACCTGCTTTGCATGTTCTTATGTCGATGTAGTCTCTAGACCTGTTCAGTCTTTTTCACTTGTTTGATATGACTAGTCTCATGTGTTCGCGTAAGATTCCATTGCATGCCTTCTTTCCGTTTCGTTCCGGTCGCTCCATGGTTCAGTGAGTATTGCCATCCTTGAAGGGGTAATCTTAGAGACTCCGAGTAGCGCTCCGACTACCATCGAGTCCGGCCGTGTTACACCGAGCCGCTGTCAGCATCTCTCCAGGACTGAAGCTTCCGATTAAAAGTCATGAAGTACAGCAAAAAGGAACGCGGTGTGTGTATGAAGGTGTATGGATAACATTATCATTTCCAATTCTATCGGTCTATAAACAAGAAGCTATGCAAACGCTCAAATGCGATGGTAATATGTACAATGTCGAACGATCTCCACCAGCTCAGCATTAAGCATCTAAGAAGAGTAGAGGCACTTGTAGGTGGTCTCCTCCTTGAGCGCCTTCATGGTGAAGGGAGTGCAGCCCTCGGAACCAGCAGGCTTGTCAACACCAGAGAGCCAGATCTTCCAGCCACCGCCAACGGCACCAGGGCAAGCCTGGAAGCCAACGTCGCCGGAAAGACCGCCAGCAGCGAAGACGAGGTTACCGTCGTCGTCGATCTTGAAGGGGCCGCGCTCCTGGTTCTTGCCAATGGGCTGGACACCAGTGGAGTAGCGGACGTTGCCCTGGCCCATGCCGCTGCGGTCGACGTAGAGCTGGAGAGGGGGGTTGAAGGTGTAGATGTAGACGCTGCCGGTCTCCTCGTCGAGGGTGAAGGAGGCGTAGTTGATGCCGTTGGTGACGTTCTCGCGGTCGCCGTTGATGGCGCAGGTCTTGTTGTTCTCGGAAGGAGTGTTGATGAGGAGGCTGCCGTTGGCGGCCTGGACGGCGCCGTACTGGATGGGGGTGGCAGAGCGAAGGGACATCAGGCGGAAGACATCGCCGGCCTCGGGGCGAGGGAAGACGGACGCTTGGGGAAGGGCGGAGGAGATGGCGGCCATGGAGGCGACAGCGGCGGCGGCGGTGAACTTCATGTTGATGATTTGTGGTGTTGTTGAAGTGTGGGAGTGGTAGTTGTGGTGATTAAGTATTAGTGTAGTGTTGATGAGTTGATGTTTGGATGATGGCTTAGAGAGAGCAGCATCCCATCTCTCTTATATCCAAATGCCATCTCGTATTTCCTACCCTTGTCCTACATCATGCCTGTCCTCAACGAGGCTGAAGGGTGTCCACACTCGGCGCCGACGACCAAAGCGCAACGCTATGACTTCATCCAGTCGGGTAATTATCGTATCCCCAGTTTTTGTGACCCTGCAATGGCAAGCACCGGCTGTGGCGCGCCCCCCTCCCATGACCGTCTAGAAGATTTTAAGCGGAAATGACGCATAATTGCCACGGTATAGGGCCGAAGCCCTTAGCATGTATCCGAATGGGGTAAAGCGCAGCCCCTTGTCGAGCTTTGATTGGTGGCGGCCTCGGCCGGCATGCGCTCAAAATAGATACAGCAATGTCCTCTCCAGAAAACATTCATGCCGAGGATATGCCCTTTGAAACTAACGGTGTAGACATTCGCGTTGGGAGACAGATGTGGACGCGTCCAGTCGAATACGATGGAAGATCGCAAGACGATGTTACTTCCATTCGTAAAGGTGGATTTCAGCAGCTCCTGGCAGTGCTGCTGCAGTGCTTGGACAACCAATTCGAGAACATCGTCAATGCAAAAGGTTCAAAGCCCGGCGTCGTACCGGCGTATTTCGTATTGGGTAGGTAAGTACCAAGGTATCCCCGCTGTTGTATGTTTATGCTCTGTTTTTAGTATGTCGATCGGATCTCGGAGGTAAAAGCGCCATCGAACTTCTTCTCCTGTCTTCCGCGCTCAACCTCTCATGGTCTCCTCACGAGGAACCTCGGTAAGGTACATTGTGAGGTGGATATCCAGTAATGATGATCGCCATCGAACTTCCTTCCTCTGTACTGATTCGACTAAGATTTAGACAACAACTCTGTTCTTTCGTTTTGACATAACATTAGGCACTTGACATGGAGTTTCCGTACCTGCTTCAAGCAACAAAGCTGTTTGCACACTTCAATCGCTCAACAGCACGCACAGCAGACCCCCTGTTATACGCGGGCGCGTTCACTTTGACCATGCAAAAGCGGTGAAGGAGGGTTCCTAAAGGGCGGTGACAAGAAGCGTCAAGTGGTCGAACGACGACGCACTTTGAGAGAAGCAACAGCTGAAGGAACACGTGGTTGATCACGTGGCGGTATTTCAGCTCATGGGTTTCACACAGGAGAAGGACTGAGATGATGGCGGTGACATTGTTGCGCACTGCGGTATCTATGCGTCGCATTTCGAGCGGGATTTTGCATCATTTCTTGGCTGTGAGGGTCGCGTGTCATGACCATCTAGACCGAGATGTTACTCAGTCTGAGCAGGATCTGACCAACTCATTAGTATCGTGTCAACGTGGTAGGAGTCTTGTCGCTAACCTTTTGGATATAGCGCACCCCGATAGTTATGCCGTCTTCATCTTGGAACTGGGTCTTGTCGCCAAATTCGGGATTATCTTCGTCCAAGCATGTCAGACAGGTCACGACAATATCCGTATACTTGTCGCCCATGCAGCTGGGTAATTCGCGCTGCGCAATTCCGACGAGCGTTTCCTTGAGCGATGCAGCTTTGGTCATTTCCTTCTTCTCGGTATAGCCCGGTGGCGGCAAGAGTTGCGATGGATTCGCTTCATTCGTGCTGCTGTATGTGACGAGCGTGCGCCACATGCCTATCTCCAGTAAGCACACACCGAGGCTGTAGATGTCATGCTGCATCGTGTATTCGCTTTCTGGTCTTAGTCCTTGTCGCTCCGGGTGGCGGTACAGATCCTTCTCCCAGGCGGCGTCGCCGGCCATCACAGTTCTCCCGTCCGCAGCCCGGAGTTTCTCGAAACCGACCAAGAATGAGTGCGTGTACTCGGATTTCTCAGCATCGAAGACCAGGATTGTTTCGGGTCTGATGCCTTTATGCACGAATTTGTAAGTGTGGACAAAGGTAACAGATCGTGCGAGCTGGAGCGCGAGGCGAAAGCGCGTGCTGAGACTAACATTGGGTTTTGCTTCGATCAATATGTTGCGGAGACTCTGTGGTGATCGCACCGAGGACGGGATATAGAACACGAAATCGTAAGCCGTGGTCGTTCTTTTATCTCTGCATACCTTGGCGACACCAAAGCATCTGAGCAGGCCAAATGAAAGCGCGTCTGCTCCATTGAGCTTGCGAGCGAGATCGCGTACGTCTGCGACTTGAATGTCGGGCTTGATGCCTTGTTGACTTGGGACAGAGTCTAAAACGAAGGTTTGGCTTTTGTCTGGCGTTTGACCTAAGGATGCTGTTGAGTATGAGATTGGCGTGCGCACAAAGCCCGAAGTCGCGTTGTCTGGTAGAAACACCTTCTTCTTCTCTCCGGTGCCTGATTCCGGTTTGAGTGATTCGCGAACCCCTATCGCAGAAAAAATGACATTGCGATCAACTGGTGGCAGCTCAGAATCGCCCTCTAAGAAATCCTGCAAATGGTTGTCTATCAGCCGGTTAGACATCATCAGGGCTAGATACCAGGATGGATCAAAAGCCTGCTGCCACTTTTGCAGTTCGCTTATGGCGGCATCGAGGCTCTTTTTGACGAAAGGATACTTCCAATTATGATATTTCGTCTCCTTCGTCGTAGCGCCGGCCGTTTTGGTGGTGGTGGCGGTGTCTCGCTTCTTCTCAAGGTTTTGCACTTCGCCCACCGCAGCCTCCAACTTGATCTGCAGCACCCTGAGCGTCTGATCTTGCATGATCTTGAACTCTTCACCCTGTATAGTCTTGATCCTTTCAAGATATCGGAGTTGGGTTTGTATTCGGAACCAGCTGTTCCTCATCAATAGCACTCGCTCCTTGATCTCGTCCGGGGCATTTCGGTAGCTAGTGTACAGGTCGACAAGGCGTTCGCCATATCTGAGACACGTTTTAGTGGGAGGGTAAATTGAACGTGAGGCACTCACTTTATTGCCAGGTCAACAGTCGCGACGACTGCCAGTGCCACTTCAACAGACATTGCGAAGTCTTACGAGATTGTCGTGAGACGACTTGAGGGTCGCAATCAACGAAGAACAGTTACAGAATGGAGCGAGTAATACCAGATGCACTGCAGGGCATGGGACAAAGGGAATGCCTCGATTGGAGGGGTATTGTCAAGGATCAGACGGAACGGGTAGGGATAATCGTCAGTGGCTGAGAGTGAGGGGCCGACAAAGCTGCAAATAGACGCAGAACAGGCTGTGTATGACGGCGCAAGGCTGGTTAATATACATACGAGAAGAGTTACAGGGTCGATCTCTACCACCTATGCGCAGTTGGGGGGCGAATAGGCAGTGCCTGCCGTGCCACCTGGGTACATCGGCGGGGTAGGCTGGGGTTGGATCATGACGCTGCTGCTGCTTCCGAAATACATCACACCCCTCTCACCTTCCGCGCGCAGCATTGCTCCAGCGCTTCTCGTATACCGGTTTTGTCGTGTGTTGTGTGTTGTGTTTAGTTCTTCCAAGGCCTTCGCTACTTCCCCTTTGACTGCCCCACTTTCCACGCATATCGGAGCTATGGAGCTAGTGCCAGAGTTAGTGGCCGATTCCAAACTGGACACAATCTTTAAGAGAGGATTCACGATCCATCATATTCGGACGCCGGATACGACTCCTCTTCTTGGAAAGAATAAAAAGAAGCAGAAGTGGGAGCAGTCCAAAGAACTTGGTCGGGGATCGTTCGGGACTGTTTGGCTGCAGAAGCTGGTAGGAGGCGGCGACAAAGACACAGACAAACGAGCCGTCAAGCAAATTGAGAAGAGGTCTGCAGTCGACTACAGTCATGAGCTGGATGCGATAGCGAAATTCTCTCAGGACAAGGTGAGTACTTCCCATTCGGTTTCAGGCCACCGCCCATCAGGTTATGGGGGGCTGACATGCCCATGAATACAGTTCAACTATTCGTTCGTCAAGTCGCTTGGATGGTACGAAGATGACAAACACGTATACATCTCGATGGAATATCTTCCCCATGGCGATCTAAGCCGCCATTTTGACGAGTTCGGCCAACTACTAGAGCATGAAGCCCAATGCGTTGCTCACCAGATATTAGACGGACTGAAGAGTATGCACGACCACGGCTTCGTTCATCGTGATCTGAAGCCACAAAATGTGCTGATCAAAGAGCGCAGCCCTAACTGGTGGGTCAAGCTTGGCGATTTTGGGGTCAGCAAGCGTATGCAGGACGCGGCTTCACTCAGTACATATACTGGTACAGATGGCTTCATGGCACCCGAAGTCATCATGAGAAAAGGTCACGTTAATTGGAAGGCCCTCGCTGGACGCAAATCATACACGGATGCCGTAGATATATGGGCTTTGGGTGCACTAGTTTTCCAGGCTCTCACTGGCAGCGAGCCTTTCGCAAAAGATCTGGGGTCCTACGTCGAGGGGAAAACGCCTTTCCCTTATCATGTGCTGCAAGCGCAAAGTATCTCACGGAAAGGATGCGACTTACTGGAGAGACTTTTGCAAGTCATTCCTGAGAACCGTCCCACAGCATCCGACGCTCTCCAAGATCCCTGGCTTAAAGCACAAGAGGCTACTCAAAGAGACTCGATTGAATCGTTGAGGTAAGAGATCAGGCGTTCTTTCGTTTTAGAGAACCAACATGCTGACATCGCATAGACCGGCTTCTACACTACACGAACAAGGCAAGAACGCGACTAACTTTCTCCGTAACATGGCGCAGCAGACAGCATCTACTGTCGCATCTGCGGCATCCCTGGCCTGGAGCGATGCGGAAAGGTCTACTATAGTGTTCAAAGCCCTCGACTCTGTCAGAACTGCAGCCAAAGAACGGTTTCCCACATCTTCACGACGCGGAGCCGATGCTGTAGATCTAGAGTCACACGGAAATGCTCTTGGTCTTACGACCCTAGTAGAGCAACCATCACCACCTGCCAAAGACTCATCTACTTTCGACCTAGCGACTGACAGTACAGTACAGAAGAAGCCTTCACAGTCTCAAGAGTCACTGGATGGCTCAACTCTAAACCAGGCCAATACCTCAACGCTCCCAGGAAGAGTGGAAAGTGTGAAAAGTCCCAGAAGTTCGGAAGAAGAGCGCCGATCCGGCAGCGCGACACCACCATATGCGACGAGATCAGTAACACTGCGCTCTGATCTGGACAGTACAGACTCCCTTCAAGAGACTGAAGAGTATTTCGATAGGCCGATAACCGTCGATGACTTCACTCTTTCACCTGGCACAACCCTATCAGATGCATCACCATCACAGCCAACATCAGACACTTCCCCAAGGGCGCCTAGCGGCCATTGGACTAGGGCGATGCCGTTCTCTCAGTTGTCTTTAGACAGTGCCAGTGCCAGCCCCATGAGTCCGGCGTGGTCAAAAGATCCGTCCATTATTCGTCAAAAAGCCTGCACGCTGAGGCCTCTGGGCTTGCCAAACGACCTCACGCATACGATGGAGCCTGACGCATTGTAAGTGAGGCCTGGAACAAGAGATCTTTCTGTTAACATAAGTGTAGTGTCGTTATCGTACCAGGCACGGGTGATCCTGCCGTCGAGATTTGGAGTATAGATGGCTTTAGCGATGAGCCACTTGTGCGCGATCTCACCAAACACTACATGAATATACAAGTCCTCGTACTTGAACATGGCTTACCAGTCAATGGGAAAGACTTCAATCGGTGGACTCAAGTCAGGGACAGTTCGCACGCCATGATGCAGCTGATCTACGAATATCGCGAAGAAAATAATGTAAGTCGCCATGCTACAGAGGCCGGAGCCTTAATTGATGATAGACGAAGGCAATGTCCATACCCATGGTTTTTCTGGGCCACGGTATCGGAGGCATATTCATCAAAGATGTGAGTTTATTAAACCAAGGATCAAGAGGAGATGAAGCTGACGATGGCCAGTTCTTCTGGAAGTCTAGTAGTCCTGAGCTCCGAGGCTTTCCGTCCCAATGGCATCAGAATCTCGTCAACAACACAGTCGGCGTCATCTTTCTTGGAACACCACATCTTACGTCCGAGAATATAGCAGATCATGAGAACATCATTGGCCTCGTCACAAGACCGCCCACCTCGAGAAGGACAAAAAGCATCGATAGGAAGCTCTTGGATCTGGATCTTCAAAATGTGTACCTCCGCCTACTCTCTGAAGAGTTCGATACGTATATCCGTGCACACCGTCCTGACCTGCCTGTATTATCAATTTGGGATGGTCGAGAGAGCAAGGCAATGCGAGTGGAAGAGCACAAGTTACTTGGACGAAGATGGAAAGCGGAAAAATATGTGGTAAGTCATCAAGAGATTACACATCACACCACAAACAGCTGGTTTTCTCCATATATAATTCTAACATATGCTATAGGTCGTGACCTACGAATTAGCCAAGATTGGCTTGCTAAACGAACAGATGATGGTAGCTGACTGTGATCACTACGAGCTATGCACACATTACAATCCTGAGTTTCGACAGAGGCTCATCGGCTTCTGTCAGGAGAAACTCCTAGAAGCGCATGGCAGAATGCTAGGAAGGCCAGGAAGCTCATCCGTCGCGTCGACCGACATTTTGGGCGAAGGGTCGAATGTGTCCTCGCCTTGGTAATCTCGTCATTCATTTTACTTGCTGCGGACATGTATCGCCACCAACACTCACTATGTACAAATGCCCAATATCAATACGCTACGTCTCTCGCAACCACACGCACCCAATCTCGCCATGCACTGTGAAAGGGATAAGAAAAGGGGCGATTGCCTCCTCCCACGTGCACTGATCATGCTCACATTGATCTTATGTCAGACTTTGGGCAAACACGGCAGTTAGCATGCCAACAGAGGAGAGCGGTTCGAAAAAGAATGAGGCTCCAGAGGAACGGAACTCCCAAAGGGACTACGCTATCGCGGGCAAATGGATGCCACATTGCGAAGGCAGCTTCCTGGGAGACGTTGCAGTGCGCGTCCAGCGCCTGCAAGAGCGAACGCGCATTCCCTTGCGGGGTTCGTCAGCCATTCAGTGCAGCTGGAGCCGCTCAACCCAGCATGAACGACGCGGCTCAAGCACTGCTCCATGCACCCGCATTCAGCATCACTGTTGATTGCCTCATCCCCTGTATTGGCTGACTGACCACAACATCCCGATTGCGTGCATTGTGCGAGCTCCAAAAGCGCGATTACCCCAAAAAGTAACACCGCAGAGATCGCGACCAGAGACAATCTTGCGAAACCCCAGTCACAGATCCCCCGAGATAAGCCAAAAAACCGTGGACGGCGCGAAGCCTCCCCATGTCAATCCAACGGCTTCTTCGGTCCTTCTCTCGGCAAGATCAGCAACCGTTTATCTGCTGATCATGAACGAAACGAGTGCTACACAGTCAGCCCTAAACAACCAGTGCGGGTGCCACCCCTCACGACTGCAACCGGTTTTGTGACTCTTCTCAACAAGTTCCAACGTGCTGGCCCTGTTGGGCGTTGTTGGGCATGATATGTAAGGATGCTCGTTCTTTGCTCGACCACATTGGGGCATCCACAAGCTTGGAATGGGAGATGAGGATGTCCCGGCGTTACTCCAAGAGGCAATGGGGTATCTGATGGTATGTCGCACTGGTGCCCAATCATTTCTGCAAGCGTTTCGTTGGGGAAGACGCACGCGCAGGGTATCGATATCCAGCTCTCTCACCTAGGTGCCCAGATCGCTCCTGCACATCTTGCAGCATCGGAGTTGTTTCAAAGAGCAGACCAACGGCGCCGCTAAATGTTGCGTAGTGATCATCATGGCATCATTAAAGACTTTAATTACCTGCAGGATTGCGAGCTGTGCAGCATGGTGGGTGGTAAGGTTGACACGTAACTTGCGGATGTCCTGTCCAGACAAACGGTCCGCACCGAAGTGTTCGATCATGCAATGCCTGCAGTGGTCAAACTTTCGGCTTCGATCAAACCTACCGGACCAGACCCCTTGCAGCGATCGAGAGGACAGGATAGAGCTTCGTGGAGATAAGATT